TGGATGTTGCTTTATATAGAGGAAAAATATAAGCAGTAGTATTTGAAATGAGCTTTCGCGCAATACTTATTTCAGCTTGCCAGTGGAAAGACTTTACTAAACCCTACAATCAATGAATTCTTTTTTTCTTCCCTTTGCTTCAATTTGTTAGCCCCTCCCCCCTGGTGGCTTAGTAGAAGTCTCACAGTTTACAACAGTAAAATTCGGGTTTTGATAGTCGCCATGGACAGAGCACAGACAGCCCATTGTGTAGCTTTGTGCTCATTAACCCCCCCCCCAGTGGCACAGCGGTATGTCTGCGGACTTACAACGCTAGAATCCGGGTTTCGATACCCGTGGTGGGCAGAGCACAGACAGCCCATTGTGTAGCTTTGTGCTTATTAAAAAGCCCCCCCCCCCCCAGTGGCACAACGGCATGTCTGCGGACTTACAACGCTAGAATCCGGGTTTCGATACCCGTGGTGGACAGAACACAGACAGCCCATTGTGTAGCTTTGTGCTTAATTACAAACAAACAAACTTATTTAAAAGATAACCAAGCAAATTATTTTGTCATTCTTTTTGTTTTCGCTCGAAGATGTAATGGGTTCCGCCCGAACAGCACCTGAAAAACGTTTACCTGTTTAAAGTTATTACCGACCAACCGAGCTTCAAGTCGAAAATATATTTTCCCATATATTCATCTTCCGCTAGGGCGCTCGACTCGCAATCTGAGGGTCGCAGGTTCGAATCCACGTCCCACCAAACATGCTCTCCCTTTCAGCCGTGGGGGCGTTATAATGTGACGGTCAATCATACTATTTATTGGTAAAAGAGTAGCCCAATAGTTAGCGGTGAGAGGTGATGACTAGCTGCATTCCCTCTGGTCTTTCACTGCTAAATTAGGGACGGCTAGCGCAGATAGCCCTCGTGTAGCTTGGTGCGAAATTCAAAAACCAAACAATTCATCTTCCAGCAAGTAGTTAAGTGTAAATAAAATCAGTGTAAAAGAGTGTATGTGCTTTAACAAGAAAACTACTGGTATTGGGAAGTAAGCTTTTCTTCTAACCGAAAGGAAATGTTCGAGAAATATCCAACAGCGTACGATTTAGTCAGTTTCATATTTGGTTTAGTGGTTAGTTTGTTGGACTTCAGACGGCTGCGTTATAAAGAGGACAGTCAATCCCGTTATTCGGTTCAAAGAGGAGGATAATTAGGGGCAACTATACCCGAATCTTAGGAGTCTCTCATCTGGCCGTTTAGCCCACGTGCAAATAAAGCGCTCTTCAAGTTAAAAATCCCAATGTATAATAAATACTAATCCAAATCTCCTAAGCTGGACGACCCTTGTGAGATATTATTGAGTTTATGGCTGAAAATATCCAGTTAACAGCTAGGGTACCAAACCGACGTACGTAATTCATTCTGATCTTTATATATTAGAACATAAGAACAGCATATTTAGTTAGCTACACTTGTTACGGGTTTATGTTGATCTTTATTTTTTATCTAAATAGGTAGCTTGATCTGATCGAAAGTTAATAATATTTTTCTGCTTTTGGGGGGAATTTGAAAATATGAATGAAACTGGCAGAGTTGATTATTTATAATAGCATTGGAAGAGTTGTTTATCCATAAACCAGACACTGGGGGAGTTGTTTATCCATAAACCTGACACTGGGAGAGTTGTTTATCTGTAAAACTGACACTGGGAGAGTTGTTTATCTGTAAATATGACACTGGGGGAGTTGTTTATCCGTAAAACTAACACTGGGAGAGTTGTTTATCCATAAACCTGACACTGGGAGAGTTGTTTATCTGTAAAACTGACACTGGGGGAGTTGTTTATCTGTAAATATGACACTGGGGAGTTGTTTATCTGTAAATATGACACTGGGGGAGTTGTTTATCTGTAAATATGACACTGGGGGATTGTTTATCCATAAACCTGACACTGGGAGAGTTGTTTATCTGTAAAACTGAACTGGGGGATTGTTTATCCGTAAAACTGACACTGGGGGATTGTTATCTGTAAATATG